CTGCTCCGCGAGCTCCCGAGCTGTCAGCGTCCCCGCGGCTTCTGCGGGGAGCCGGGCGCCGCGTCGTGGCCCGGGCCTGCGGGCTCTGGGTTCCCGGTGTCGCGCGTAACTCCGTCGGTCGAGCCGTTTGTGCCCTTGCCCAGCAGCTCGTCCCCCGCATGTCCTGTTGCTGTGTTTTAAGGTAGGGACTTCCTCGGTAAGAGGAGACCCCTTCGGCGGGAACACAGCCGCGGGCGGGAAGGCACTAACTTGTGCGCGGAGGTCCTGCTCTCTGGCTCGTGGGTAAAAGTTGGAAAGAGGCCTGTTCCAAGTGTAAGACGTGGCCTCGGAAGCCTCCCGGAGGAATGAAATGCAGAGCTATCGTACTGCGGCGCGACACGCGCTCTCGGAGCTTTGCGTGTCACTTGACAGCCTGCGCTGTGACCGCTAGTTCTGCGGACAGTAAATTCTTGAATTTAACAGCATTTTCAGCCGCAATTAGAATTGTAATTGCTATAGATGCATTTCACATTAACAAAATTTTAAAGTTACTTTTTCACAAATCTGAAGAGATATCATTAACCTTCTTTGGATAGAAATTTGTTCTACAAACTCCTTAACAGGTCTGTGCCTCAATTTCCCTATTTAAAGGGCATTTGTGTATGGGGGATAGTCCCAGTGACATGGGTTTGTGTGGATTAAATAAATGTACGTTATGTGAACCACTGTGTGCCTGGTATATAGTACATACTGAGTAAAACATGCTGTTTTGGTATAATTGCAGCGTGGTAGAGGTCGGAGTGGTTTGCGGTCCTTTTTTCCTGTGGATTTCGCAAAATAAGGTTAATCACAGTTAATGAGGCTAACACTTAAAAGTTTTTTTCTCCCATGGTACTGGGGATTGAACTCAGGGTTTTTACACTGAACTATAACCTCAGCCTGTCCTTCTTAATTTCTTTTCTTTTCTTTTCTTTTCTTTCTTTCTTTCTTTCTTTTCTTTCTTTTCTTTCTTTTCTTTCTTTTCTTTCTTTTCTTTCTTTTCTTTCTTTCCTTCGATGGTCACACAAAGTTGCTAAAATGTTGGGGCTGAACACCAGTTTGAGATCCTTATGGCTCAGCCTCCTAGATTGCTGCGATTTCAGGCCCGTAGCACACTGGAGTTCGGTCGTTTATCTGCCTTTTTTTTTTTTCTTTCTTTCTTTTTCCGTACTGAGGAACTCAGGGCCTCACATATGTCACGTAGTTTTAAAATGTATCTTCATCGTCACCTACCAGCTGCAAGTTAAACATACCTGTATGTCGGGACTGTTATGCCTGAAGTAGTAGTTTCGCCTTTTATCAAGGTTTATTTTTTCCTAACTTGGCAAAAAGTATTTGTGACTGTCTTACTACCACAATCTGTGTTAAAACAGTTGGACTTGATGAAGGTGATGTAGTTAAATACCTTCCGTTTTTTCCTCTATAGTTTTCCTGGGGAGAGGAAGGAATAGTCTGAATTGTCGGTGTTTCTCTTACATCTAGTTTTGTAAAAGATAACAGCAATGATGGTTTCCTTTTACCTTTTCTCACCGCCACTTGCCTCTAGGCAGTGTAGTTTAAGTTGTAGAATGTGATCGGAATGCTTGAGTAAATTTTGATCATGATAACAGTACCCCTGTTCAGTTTACTGCGCGGCCAGGGGCTAACACCGCGCCGGAGCCTGTCGGCGTGGCCGCGCTGGTTGGAGTACCGTCTGGGCCTGGGACTGTGCAGAGCTAGGCCGCAAAGGTGAGGGAAGCAGCCTTGTCTTCAAGGACCTCAGAGTAAAAGGGAAAGCTGCGCTCATTAGTAGACTTGTTACACAGGTGTAGACGGTTTATATATAGATTTTCAGTGACAACAGATTTTTACACTGAGTGCTTAGTTTAGAAATACCACATTTTGAGAAGTTTGGAGTAACAGCTTTACTGAACCCTTTCAGTGATAGTTCATCTGTTTTTCAAATAACGTTGTGGCCAGTTTTAAAAGGAGGTAAGAAATGTCCTATCTGTATCCATTGTTCCATTCAGATCCTTTTTCCATATCCCAGCGTTTTCCCTACAAAATCCTAAGTATTGAGCTATTTAACCTATGTTTGTTTCTGCTGATTAAAGAGGTAGCAAAGTGTACACTAATTTAAAAGCTCAATAAACACATAGATTTGGATTGATTGAAACCTCTTTCTGTTAGAAGGCAAATTTTATAGTGGGGAAAACACTGGTTTAAAGTCAATTTCAAATCCAGGCTTTGTTAGTGCTCACAGTGACCTTGGATGAGTCACTTAACCTTTCTTGATCTACTTCATCTATAACTGATTTTTAATAAACTTAGTAAAGCAGCTTTTCGGTTGGATGGTTATTAGGTTACTGCTTCATAAACTTAATTTTATAACTTTTTTCTTCACTTTGAAATATTATGAAAGTTAACCAGAAGAGTAGGAAATATTTATGAATGAAGGGGAATAAAAAGGTTTTCGGTGAATTTGCCTAAATGGGAGGTAGTAGGGAAAGATAACCCACTTTTGAACAGTTTATATATTCTCCCTTTTGAGGAACTAGGCTGATCCCTTGTTCTGTTTTAGCCAATAAATTACATAGTTAAGATTCTTGGGATAGTTGTAATATAATTAATAGTAAAATTGTAATTCCACACTTTCTTAAAAAACGAAAATGATTACTGTGTTTTCTAAAGAGAACAGATCGTGTATTATACTGTAACTTTGTTTCGGTATTTCTTAATAACAAATGTATCTTGAGTTGTATCAGTGTTACTTCTGAAAAAAATCTTTGTACAGCTGAGCTACAATATGGCATTTTTATAATAAAGATCACATTCCTATTTCCTCTAGAATGTGAGTAATGGGTGTAGATGATTTCACTGTCCTGTATCCACCAGTAATGTGTGATACAAATTCCCCTAGTTAAAAACATGGGGACACTTTTTTACCCTAAGTTTGTAACATGTTAAGCATTTTACTATTGCTATGTATCTGTAAAGTACATGTTACATTTGTGAGACATATTCCCTTTTTGGAAATTGATTTTGAGTTGAGCAAACAATTAGAGACAGTTAAGGCGCCTTAAGTATTTATTAAGATATTTGTATCAAATATGCCAAAGTAAAGAAAATCATGTAATGAAACGCCTGTATTTGTCACCTAGATCAATAGCTACTGAGAGATCTGTGGTGCTGCCCCCACCCCCTACTGGCAGGCATATTGAGAGTGTGTCTCCGATGCAGTTTCATCCCAGTGATGATGTTCATTTCCTTACATAGCTGCTAAATAGAACAGAATTAACAATATTTTCCTTGTATTAATCTCTTTTTATAATTAAAAACAAGTGTTTTGTATAGTGTTCTAGCTCTCTGCCGTCAGCTAGGGCAGCGACACATGGCTATTTACATTTATATTAGTTAAAATTAAAAATTCAATTCCTCAGTTGCAGTAGCAATTTCAAGTATGACCAACTTAGTGGAACTACAGATAGTATTTCCTCCACTGCTGAGAGTTAGACTTCACTATTGGACAGCGCCCCTATAGATACTTTTGCTCTGGAAGTGAACCTGGAAGAAGTAAAAACTTGCATTTTAAGAAAATACACAAGAATGCTCATTTAATGTTTGATTCTTCTTTTTTTCAGATGTGTGGAAAAAATAACAACTGAAAAAGGTAAGACTTGGTCATTCTTACCTCTCTTATGTGTACAGTACGCTGATTATGTGACAGGATAATAGAAAATAGATTTCGCTTCAGCCTGATGAGAGTAGTTGCCTTTTACAAGGGATTTAGGCAGGGCCTGGTGTTGCACACAGCAGACCTTGCCTCAAAGCTGAATGCAGGAGCAGGCCTGGTGCACACCTGCAATCCCATTGTCACAGGTAACTGAGGCAAGAGAACCGGAAGTTGGAACCCAGCCTGGGTAGTTTAACGACTGGTGAGATCCTGTCTCCAACTGAAAAACTAAAGGGTTGGAGGTGTAGCTCAGGGTGAAGGCGCTGGGTTCTATCCCTGGTACCATAAAAATAAGTAAAATGAAAGGGACTGATAAAGCGTTGCTGGAGTTGATAAACCTAGATGACAGCAAGCAGGTTGGACGGGATGTTTTGACGTTATTTAAAAGTCCAATAGTGGGGAAATCATAACTTGATGAAAATTTAACCTAATTTTGAAAGCATTTGGTTTTTTAAAAAAGGGAATAATGAGAGGAATGATGTGCAATATAAATTGTAAAGTGTAGGCAAAATCTTGATACTGGTGGAGACTCAAATTGTAATTGCAATTTGAAGAATGCAGAAAAAAGTGTTCTAATATTTCAGCCTGGTCAATGATTAAATGAAGCCATTAAAACATTTCCCTTTAGAGTTCCAGTAGACAAAATGTGTGCGTTGAAGTGGTTTTTGCTCATCTGGATGGTGAAGGGAAATCAGTGCTCAGTTTGATTTAGTTCTCCCTAGTTCCTGAGAGATTTCATTCTGGCTTTACAGATTGGGCTGTTACAAGTGCCTCTGTTGTGTTGAACCAGTTGCTCATTCACTGCAGTTTTCTTTCTCTAGTCCTTGGCAGTGTTTTTTGATGCTGAATTCAGAGACACATTTCTCTTAAAACTGGAACAAATATACTCTTGATCATACCTCATTTATCGTGTATGCTCTATACCTCGCCTTCACATAGCCAGTTTCCATCTGCTAGAGTCCACTGAATTAATCACTGAGAGTTGACCAGTTAGTGTTTAAGGTAGCCTGCTACTCTCGGAAAATCAAGCATGTGTGTGTATTTTTCCATATGTATAGTTTCATAGCAGGGGTTTTGTGTTCTTTATAAAGAATGATTTGACACAATATGAGAAAAGATTAAAACTTGGATTTTAATACCATTTAAAAGAACGACAGTGTGACTAAGAGCCAATAACTTGCATTGGTGGCTTTCTGTGAATAACATAACACTCAAGTTCTTCATTGAAGTTTGGAATTTGAGGCTAATAATCCCATTGTGTACCAGGTAGAATTTTTTTTGGTACTGGGAATTGAACTCGGGACTTCATGCTTGCCAGGCAGGCGCGATTCCACTGAGCTATATTCCTGGCCCTAGAATTATTTTTATAGAGTGTTTGTAGAAATTTTTGCATGGTTGTTTTGTCTAGCATAATATTTTAATTTTGACAAAAGTAGCAAAGTTTATTTTTGTTGCTGTTATTACTTGGAAAATAGATGTTATGTCTCCTGAGACTGGAAGGTTTTATGTTGCTTACTCAGAGATTACTTTGTAGATTTTTTTGAGGGGAAGAAAATGTAGAAACTGTTAACAAGTTACCAGACCAGTTCTGATTAAGACAGAAAACAACCTGCCTTTATCGGAGTCAAAAGTACTTCGTGTATCTAGTGAGAATTGGTAAAGAATTCACTGTGGGTTGGCTCAAGGAAAACTTAGAATTTGAATTTTACTTTTTTTTTTCTTTTTCTTTTTTTGAGACAGGCCAGTCCTGAACTCACTGTGTAGCCCAGGCTGACCTTGAACTTGAGGCAGTCCTCTGCCTCAGCCTCCCGAGTGCTGGGATCACAGGCTACGCCCGGCTTGGAATTGGAATATGGTGAAATGTTGAGCCCCATTTTGAGCTGTGTGAGGTGGTAGATGCTTCCGTCCCTGCCTTCTGGGAGCCCCAGGTGCAAAGACTGGAAATTCAAGCCCAGCCTGGACAACTTAGCAATTTAGGGATTCCCTGTCTCAATGGGCGTAGGGGGAGAAAAAGTTTAAACCCTCTTTGGAGGTGAATTGTCTTTGTGCAGGTGATCTTAAACCAGAAGCTGGCATGCTGTGTAGTTGTGCAGCTGGGCAGTTTAGTTGGCACATCTGTGTCCCCCCAGTCCACTCATTGGGTGCTGTAGTCCTGGGTACTCAGCACTCCGTCTCCGCGACTCCAGGTGTCAGCAAGTGTGTCTAACATTGGTGCACGCAGTAGTGAGTAGAGAAGGGGGCACGGCTGCCATGCTCACTTTCCTGTGTTGTTTCCTATCCTTCCCCTCACCTCTTTGTTTTTCTTGTCATTTAACTCCTTACAAAGTTACCCTTTAACTCCAAGAGAGTTTTCATTTTCAGTCTGCTGAATTTTAACCGAAGTTAACTCATGTTTATTTCAAAGGTTGAATCTTTACAAAACTGTGATAGATTATTTTCTAAAGGTGTGACTTTCATTAATACTAAAAACATGTTTTCAGAATTACTTTTATTCTTTCTTACTGCAAACAACTAGAAATTGTTTTTCCTTGAGTTGAATCTGTGACGTTTCAACAAATAAACATTGTGCCTAATACTATTTTTAAATTAAGTTGCAGTGTTCAGTTTTCAAGTGAGTAGTTAAGAAACATTAATATTAGTTCCTGTTACATTTGTTTACACTGATAGGTGTATATAAAACAAATAGAAAGTTGCTTTACTAAAGTAGTGTGTTACATGCATCCAAGAAATTGCTGAACATCCACCCCAGGTTCAGTACCATTCTAGCCACTGTGCTGTGCTGATGGTTACTTAGTGACCTGAAGTCAAAACAGTGTATAAAATGCTTCGCATTGAAACTGGGCAGGCTGAACTTAGAGAAGGTGGAGAGGGAGTACCTCTTTGACAAGGTAACATTTGAGCTCAGACCTAAATATGCAGGCAGGTATTTAGATGTGGATAGTCCACACATTAGTAGCAAAAAAGAAAAAGAAAAATTAAAATTTGAGAGCTTAGTCACCATTGTAACAAGAGGATCACCTTCGTCTTGTAACCATTGGCAGAATATCAGCAGAAATCTTGAAGGGTGGAGGCTTAGCTCCTTTTTACCCTCACTCTGTTTTCATTCTGTCCCTGTTTTGAGCCATTAGTGTCCTTGTGAGAGTGAAACAAGAAGATGGTTTATGTGTATAATTTATTAATATTCCTTGCATGGGGCTGGGGATTTAGCTCAGCGGCACAGCACCTACCTGGCAAGTGCGAGGTCAAGAGTTTGATTCCCAGTACTGGGGGAAAAAAAAATTCCTTGCGTGACTTTTAGTGTCTTCCATTTTCTAACCTCCAGCTAGATACATCATGAAACTGGTCTTTGCTCTCCTGTTTGTTGGATCCTTAGTGGTGATTAATGCTCAGGACAGATGAAACGTTGCTGCTGGGCTCTGGTGCACACCCGTCTGCCATCCCAGCTACTCTGGAGGCTGAGGCAGGTGGTAGCAGGTTCGAGGTCAGCTCTGGCTACTTTGCAAGACCCTGTCAAAGTGAGAGGTCTGCACTTGTGTTTCAGGGTGAAGAGGTCTTGCCTAGGGAGCACAAGGAGGCCCTGGGTTCAGTCCCCAGTGCCACAAAAGCAAAAGACCCAAACCCTTGCTCAGCTCCCTAGAATGTTTGGTCTGTTTTATGGAACAACGTGTTGCTGGATTCTAGAGTCACAAAACTGCTTTAACATCTCTTAAAACTCAACACTTTTAAAAGACTATTAATGTTTTCTAAGTGTGCTTCATAGAGTCAAGTGTGGAGAGTGCGTGAGTCATTGCTGGTAGGATAGTTATTTTGGGACTTTTGGGGAACTTTGATTTTCAAAGGTATGCAGTGTCAGTACCAAAATATGCAGCAATTAACTAACTTCCTTTACTAAAAAAGATCCTCCCTTTAAGTACACCTCTTAAAGCTTCAGTTTATGCAAAACATACTTTGAAGTTAGCGGTGCTGGAGAACTGTAAGGTATTACTTTGGAAGTAATTGTCTTCACCGTCTTACTACTGCACGTTACTGTTGTTATGGAGCGGTGATGTTGGCAAAGCTTGTTCAGTCACCAAGTGAAGTCCTAAGGTCGGGAGATTGTTTGCAGCTCCACTGTTAACTGTCAGCAGTATCTAGCGTATTGAAATCACGGTAATGTCTGGAATTACTGCTAAACTGTTAGGTTGTTTGATTTTTTTTTTCTCCTCTGCTCTAAATCACATACTTGGTTTTTGTCTTCTATTGATGAAGTCTTAATTTGTTGATTATGCCTCTATTCCAGTTTTTAAAAAATTAGGATTAGTTTATTTTTAGCAGTTTTTACAATTGTAATTTCAGTGAAATATTCAGTGTTTACAGTGCTGGCATATATTTATTTCTTATCCTCCCAGGTCAGTCTCTTGTATCATACTCCAGTACCCTTAAACCATATTTGCATTATTCCTGAATCTGTAGAAGAGGAATTCTAATTTAATCTCCATCCCTTGTGAAAAATCTCACGTGGCAATTTTCACCATTGAGTTTCTACACAATGTGACAGTACCCTCAGGACGTTGTCATTATTCTTTCTTGAAACATTTTGAATCTCCTTGGTAATGACTTGGTTTTCCTAGTTAAAAAAGTAAATCTTACGGATTTTGAATATGAAAGAGCTGTGGGCCAGGCATGGTGGCAGCATACCTGTAACCCCAGCACTTGAAAGGCTGAGAAGGCCAAGGCAGGAGGATCTCAACTCTGAGGCCAGCCTGGACTACATTTCAAGACCCTGTCTCAAAAAAAGCTGTGGAAGGATCGCTCTCAGGCAGAAAGGAAGATATAAACAAGCCCAGCACCAGCCCTCAGAGGTGCTGTTAGTTTAGCTAAAACATTCTTTGCAAAGTAAGTGATGCCTTTTTCTTCTAAAGTCAGATTGAACATTTTTTAAAAAGCTTTTGGTTCAC